GGCCGCTGCCGCTGTGGTCCTGCCTGGCACTTGCCCCGATGGAAATCCAAAGAGTTGGGGGGGGGAGAGAGTAATGCAAAAGGTGACGGGGTCAAACATAAAGCCTCTTGGAGCTTCAGGAACTGTGCTTCCCTCCCTGCTGAGTCTGGGAAGGAGTCTGCTCTTGGGCTGGATCATGCAGGATTACGTGGGGGCTTTCAGAGGCATCCCACATGGAAACATACGTGTCAGATGAACACATCTGTCTACGGGGTGGGCGGAAGCTTGGATCCCAGGGAGTCCTTCAGTCCGTGTCTGCCTGCCTCTGCGAGGAGTTTGGTCCGTACGGGGATGCGTGGGAAGATGGATACCAAAAATGGGCAATTCACTGTTTCCCCTCGCCCTGACGTGCTCCTAGCAGGGGGGTTGGACTAGATGACCTCTAGGGGTCCCTTCCGACCCAAAACTTTCTATGATTCTATGATTCATCTTTGCTGAACCCGTGACCCTTTCACAAAGCCTGGCAGCAGTTCCCAACTGGGATGAAGGCTATTAGGAGGACCCCCTCCCAAACTGGGTCCCGCTGGACTCACCAGATCCTTGGAGGTGCCAAGCCTTGTCAAGCCGTCCAGGGGCAGCAGGTCAGCCGAGTCCTTGTGCACGAACTGGGTGGCCTGTTTAAGGCGCCTCTTCTGTTGCAGAATAGCTTTGTTCCTCAGGTCCGCCTCGCACTCCTGGGGCTCCAGGTCAGGAGTACCCTCGCTCTGCTTCTCCTCCCGGTCTCCTTGCCCCAGTGGCAGGGGGCAGCTCTTCCTTGTGCTCATGGTGAAGGTTCAGACAGAACAGGTCCTTCTTGGTATTCTGGGGTGTTCCCTGCACTCGTCTCCTGGTGTTTGCCCTCCTGAGGCCGACTCAGTCTCTGAGCTCCTTCCCCTTCCCCACAGCTCTCCTCCTCTCTCTTTCTCTGCCTTTCTTCCTGCTGTCTTAGTTACAACACACCCATCTCTGAAGTGCCCCTGTGCCTTTTTCTCCCTCCGTCCTCTCCAGTCCCCCGGAGTCCCTCTGCTCCCCACCTCTCCCTCTCCTTCTCCCTCTCTTCTCCTGCCCTGGCTGCAGCTCCCTCTCCCAGGCGGTGGGTCCCTGTCGTAGCAGAGAAAGCCCCACGTCAGAAATCAATTTCCATAAATTGCAGCAGAGCCGGCAAGATGCTCCAGCTGGAAAAATCCAGCAGCAGAAGGATGGCCCCGCTGCTGGGGGCTGGACTTACCTCCCTCGGGCTGCGCGCGCGCACGCGTGTGAGAGTATGAGTGTGAGTGTGTTTGTGTGAGTGTGTGCACCTCCTGTCCCCCCCCGATATGCTGAAGGCACAGTAAATCTCTTGTGGCAGGCTGTGCAGTTCAGTGTCTCTGCCGGGGGGGCTTTGATGCATCTCAGTGAATCCATAAACACTGGCAACGGCGCAGCTGGATCTAGGGGATGATGCAGAGCCTTGCAAACGGGAGAGAGCGTCCGCCTCAAGGCTCCTGGCAGGCATGCCCAGTCTCGTTTCTGCAGAGCACATCACGCGTCTGGAACAGGCTGGCACTGAAGGATCTTACTCTGTAGCTCGAACGAAATGCGGAACGCCTGGTTTCTGCTTCCAGTCAGGGCAAACGTGCTGGGCCTGACCCTGGGCTCACTTTCACCCCTCTCCATCTGGAGCCGAAGCTGCAGAAACCTAAAATCACCGGCTGGTTGATACTGGGGGACTTGGCTCCCCGCTTACGTGGAGAGCGTGCTGACACTGCTGCAGCAGGGGATGCCTGGAGCAGGGCAGGCATCCCTCCTCTCGAGGGAGAGAGGACACGGCAAAGCTTGCTTTTTCTGCTTTCCGTCTCCGCGTTGTCCCACTTGAAACTAGAAGTTTCGACTTAGAACCGAAGCTGCTTTATTTTGCTCCCTTTTCACTGGTGAATGCACTTCCCCAGTAAGCATCAGCTCTGCTGTCAGGTACAGAGGAGGAAACTGGGTTTTATTCAGCTGTGAAGCTAAGGACAGCATTCCGGGGTGAAACAGCTTTTGTGTACAACACAGAAGGAACAGCAGCAACAGACTGTGAAAGTTACAGCAAAAGGAGGCCTTCTGTTGCTCCCTTTTTTCCAGCTTAGTAGTAACATTCCAACATTACTGATACCAACAATTGCTATGCTCTAGATTGTATATAAAAATATAATACTGAGTTTGTGATGCTAGGTAGTAAATCCAGTGGTCCATGTACAGAGATGAGTCTGGTCAGCCACTGTGAGACCTCAGTGTGGTTCACAGGAACTGCAAAGTTGGCCTCAGTGCAAAGCAAACTGTTGTTTACCTTCCACTCCCTGCTAGTCATCACAGCGCTAGCATTTCTCTTGGGATCTGCAGTCCTCAAATCTTAGAAGGGAGGCTGGTCATTTTTAGAGTCATTCTAAAATTTGAAGACATTAACCTTTTTGTTCCCAGCATGCTAACTGCTTTACGCAGGGTATCGTGGTTCCCACAGCACCAATATGCAGAATCAGATTTGGCAGGAATGGGAGTAGAAATATGTTCTGACTGCTTTACTCTACAAGGCCAAACTCCAACATCCTGATGCAAGCAGAGTCCCCTCAAGAGCTCAGCAGAGATGCTTTCATCTGTCCTGGTCTCTCTGCAAACCGAATTAAGAAGACAGTTTAAATAACAGCTGTTCCCAGGGAAGCTGTGTTCCCACAGTCTTGTTTTCATCCCTCTAGGTTGTCATGATTCCTGATTTACACACACTTTTGACTTCTTGTGGTTTCACTGAGCATCCTCTGAGACTTGTTATCAAGTCCTTTAATCATCCCCATAAGCCAGTACTGAATCACGCACCTCTACTCTTACATAGGGCCCCGTTTCCCGTCCTGCAGGCTGTGAATATCTCAGCAGGACAGCCTTGACAAGGCAGCTCTGCTTCTGCTGGCAGCAGCGGCAGTGCCAATTTTCTTAGAGCCTCAGAACAGTCCTTAAAACTATAAAGCAGGACAGAATACCTTGGGACCAGCTCCCCTACAGTCCCTGCCTCGAAACCCATGGGCAGAGTTACACAATTTCTGACGAGACCGTCTCCCAGCTCGGATGTGCGTGTGGGCACGAAGAGGAGAGCGCGCTCGTAGTTCTCAGTCCCAGCTACTCCTTGCACCCTTTTTCATTTGTTCTTGCCCAGTCAAAACTGGTTTGCCTTGCAGCTGTGCTGGAGCCATTGCTGGAGCAGTCCTGCTTTAGGGTCTGACCAGCTAAATCTGGCCCCTAACTCACAAAATATTTCTCTCCTAGTGCCTCAAAGAGGAGAATTCTTAAAATCTTATTTAAAGCTTTCTCCCCTCCTTTGTCCATTCTACTCCAAAGAGGAGGTCATTTCTAACTCTTTATATCCTGTGACGTGTTAGTTCTCAGATCTGGCAAAAACCCCTAGCATTTTGATGGAGTTAGAGTCAGCTAAGATATTATCTTCTCCCTTTAGAGGCATGCTGGGTTCTAGGTCACTGTTTTTTTTCTATTCAGCTATTACTTTTTCCAGCCTGTTCTTCTTAAACAGAGCCCATTTACTAAGTAGGTTAGGTGCTTTTTTTTTTTTTCCCCAGAATGGACACTCTTAAAGGTTTTCTAATGGAGAGTCAGACCACAGTGCAGCAAATCTGAGCTTATTCCCAGTAGCTGTGCCTTTCCCAGTCATCTTTTGCAGGCCCTGGAAAATAGCATATGACTCACCAACAGCCTGTGTTAGAAAAATAAATCTGATTTAGATAAAAACATTCATACACAATCCCATACACACAGCAAAAGTATTTTCCTTCTTTGATCCAGCCACATACAGTAATCATAACCCCTTATACCCCACTATTGTCCACCCTGCAGACAGGAATTCTTACAGGGTGTGTAACACCGCTATTCAGGCAATGTCTGGGAAATGCTGAAGGATTCAGAACTAGTGCCCGTGTTTCTGAGGAAAGGCACTGAAAAGCGGCATTTCCCAGGAGCCAGTTTGCCCAGCCAAGAAACAGGAGAGGGTCGATATTCTGGCGAGCTATTCCTTAATTGAAGAAATTAATGAACAGTACCTGAAGTAGTGGAGGTGAGGAACGGACTCCTTTTCTAGAAGAAGTATCTCCCAGATTAAAGAATGTGAGACAAAGTAAAGACTTTACCTCCCTCTGCCAGGAGCACTAGGTAGTATCCCAGCTGTTTGAGGAGCTGCTCTTTTGAAGGCTTTCACTGATTTGAGTTTAAATCACAAGCTGAGGTTCTTTCACCACAGGTTTTGCTTGTATCTCACTTCTGGGAAGCTTTAACCTAACCTAATCATTGCTCTTTAAAATATTCTCCTACTACTTTTGTGACTTCTAATACTTGTTCCATTCTTAGAGAATTCTCTTCGGCTTTGAATTTTTCTCTTTCAACAGTTTGGAAGCTATTCTGTCTTCCTCTTGTAGAGCCAACACAGTGCAGCTGGGAGGGTGGCTTGTACGTAAAGAGATTTACATTTCTTTTGTGTCAAGCTGGGCTGTTACAGCTCTCAACAATAGCCCCCACATAATGTAACCACCCAGAGGCTGTTTCTGCATTACACCAGTTTCCAAGGCACTGTCTCAGTTTGGCAGAGCAAGCTTCAAGCGGCTGTAAAAGTGCTCCTCAGTGTAGCAGCGATGTCAAGGCCAGGAGATGCCCAGTGCAGGATCACCGCGAGACAACTTTCTGCTCATCCGCTTGCATTCTCACAGCCTGTGCACGGTCTGTGGAGGCACAGATGGTGCAGAGGAGGGATGAGAGGACAAGCCTCACTCAGGCAAACTGTGCATGCCTCTCTCTTCCCTTCATCTCTGAAAAAAAATTTATTTGTAAAAAAAGCTTCCTCTGCTTTGAATTCCCTCCAGTTTGTCTATTTGGATGATAAAATATGTTCCCATTCTTCAAATAATAAGTGACAGGTTACAGTATATATGTCTGTGAATACGTCTGACAAACCTCCTTGAGATAAATGTCCTCTCAGATGTGCGTAGCGTTGTAGCTCAGCTGCTGGACAGCAAAGTGTATCCTGCCAGTCAGGCCGCTCAGAAAGCAGAATGCTTTGCTTAATTAGCTAATTTAGGGTCAAGTCTCTGTAGTCATCTGCCATAGTAGCTACATTTATAAAAAATCTGTGGCAAACTTGCAACCATGTTGTCCAATGTGAATTCCCCCTGCTGCATTAATATTTCCTGTAATGATTTGTGTCCTGTTTGTGTTGATTTCACTGCTTGAGCCAAGCTGTGTAGCAAGAGCCTGTTCTGCTTGGTTAGAATAGTTAGCATTGCTGCAGCATGGTTGCTGGACATGCAGCAGGCAACACACAGTTCCCTCTTCCATTACGTGGCCGTGTTAATTACACTAGGCGACTTTGGCTTTGTTTTCACCTGGGGAAAGAATATCCACTGTTACTGCAGAGTGCTAATGCCCACAGCAATGGCAACTACCTTACTCGTGCGAGAGCTTCTGTGTGCTCTGAAAGACATTTAAAGCACAAAACAATTTCTGGTAGGAGTATGCTTACCAACATAAGTGTGCAAGAGACTGAGGCGAAGGATAGTTGTGTATTTAAGGCCAGTAGTGCAGTACTTGGAAATGCGCTGTCTCAAAGATGTCTCCTGTGTGTAGCTCTGGGTAGTTGCTTTCATTTCACTGTCCCTCCACTTCCTATCCGTAGGGAGAACGGTATTTCCATTATCCACTTATCTTGAGGCTAAGAATGCACTTGTCCCTAACACAGACAATTTTTTGAAGTCTCTGTATCCTGCCATAATAATAATGA